CCCCCATGTGTACTACAGAAGCAGACATCATCTTGCTGGTCATTGAGTGGGTCGGTAGCGTTTGGCCCCGCACCTGCTGGGTGGACGCCTGCCTGACCAGCTTTACCCGAGGTGCGGGGCTGCAGAATCCAGGTCTGTGCTCCCTGCCTCACCCCGGAGGGGCGCTGTGACCGCTGCTGACCTGGGTCACTGTCATCCCACTAAGCATTCTCATGCTGGGGGCTTTGACATTTGTGTATTGGACTGTTAATTACCAAAGAGCGAGCAAGGGAGACAGAGCCAGGAAGGACTCCTCAGTTACACTTTGGAGGGGAAGAATGACTTTGGAGCATTCACTTCTATTCGTGTATTAAAATGTTCCGTACACTGGCCAAATAGAACGTGTTAAAAATTCCTGTTTTTTAGTGAAACTAAGCAGAAGAAGAGTGGAGGCCAATACAAGATGATAATTGACCTTAGTTCTCAAAGAGAACAAATTTACCACCTGGGATTTAAAGCGTAGCCCACCTCTTCCAGGCCCCTGCTGTCACCGGCGAGGAGATAGGAGACCCAAGGAAGCGACGCTAGGGTAGGGAGTATTCACCTACGCGTGTTTTCCACAGAAAGCGATTGGCCTCAGACCATTACCAGAATAAACTGAAACTTTAAAAACCCTTCCTCTTTGTTCCACTTTCTATGCGTCTGCCTTTCTCAGCACTAGGCAATGACCACTTGGACGTTAGACAGTTGGCTCTAACACACTTTCGAAGACGGGCCCCACTCAAGGGCAGCTCCCTCCTTCCTGCAGTCAGCCGAGGGTTCTTTGTTCAGCTCGATTAGGAATCAAGAACGGCAAGTGCAGCTCCCCAGGTTTGGCAGCCCTGAGCTCCGGGCCCAGTGGCTCCACCCCGCGGCGTTCGCAGCCCTCCCCTCCTGTCCACTGCTGCTCCGCACCCTCAGGGTCGTGGTCCCACGATCTTGAGTGTCACCAGCTCTGCCTGAGCAGTTCAGCCCGCCCTCCTGGAGAAGGAATCATGAGCAGGCAATAAAACCACCCCCAAGAAGCTTTATTCGGGCTGATACTGTGGCGGAAGGAGAAGCAGTACACAGGTCGATGTAGTAAGGGTGAGAGGAGGGTCGTTTATACAGATGGAAAGCGGGACGGTGCTCTCACACACGCACAACTCTCCTGCGGGTGCACACGTCTTCTGCCTTTTGCTCGGGCGCAGGCAGGGGAGGCAGGCGCTCCTTATGAGACAGAATGGGCTGTTTGAAGGGGTGGAGAGGCTGCAGGGTGGAGGGGTCTGGGATGGACCCTGACTGACGATGGCCCCAAGGCATTTAGGGCAGACGGGGCTGTCAGCTGTGGGAAAACTGCCTGTTAGGGAGTACCAGTCCCTTTTCTTCTCTCACTGTTTCTTCCTTCTTTATATTTTGCCTTTTTAGATCAAGAGAGACAGAAAGACACATAAAGGGAAACAGGCTCTCTGCCTTCCTTTTTCTGCCTAGCTAGTGATTCACCAAAGCCATGAGTTCAGTCTGATACCCCAGTTCTAATCCTGTAACAGAAGCTTTTCTGTCGTTTCGTGTTCTCCAGTGAGAAAGCTTCTACTCCCCCGTGTGATTATCCATCTGTTCAAGACTAAAGTACACAGAAAGCATTTTTATGTTTGCCAGACTAAACCACAAAATGCAGATTTACTAAACAGACTTTAATGTTTATTTACAGGTATCTGAGCTTGACCAGCTCACACAGAATTTTACTTTGCAATTCACTGAGTTTGGCAAGTGCGTAACCTCTTGTAATTTAACATTGATCAAAATACATATTTCCATTTGAAATGGATGATGTTTCAATCCAGGAAACCCCCTCATCTTTTACCCCAGTGTTGTCCTTCCGTCTCACTGTCCTGCCCGAGGCAGCTGTGGTTCTAATACTTCTGCACCCTAGGTGCGTCTTACGCTGGCTGAGTTCACTGAGCACAGCCAGTGTGACAGCAGCTCCTTCCTTAAGCTGCATCACATGGTTACTGGGCTGTCTCAACAAACTACCCCAAGGCTAGGTCCTCACGGCACCAGGAGGTTTTACTCTCGGTTCTGGAAATCCCGGGTCTAAAGCACGGTGTCTCCTCTGCAGGTTGTAGGGGAAGGTCGGGCCCATGCCTTCCTCTGGGCCTCTGGTGCTCTCCGCTTTATAGTCAGCTCATTGGGCCCCTGCACCTGCAAGGCCAGGGAACACAGGCTTGTGTCTGTCTTGTGTTCTTTCTCCTCCTTTTAAAAGACACCGGTTTTAGGGGATGAAGGGCTCCATCTACTCCCATGTGATAACACACCAGGACTTTTTGTTTTGTTTTTTGATGCAGTGCTGGGGGGATACCAGTGCTGGGTTCCCACTTATGCTAGGCCAGGTCTACATGACCTGCACCTCTAGCTCTCAACTTGGGCTGTTTGTGTGTGTGTGTGTATGTGTATGTGTGTATGCATGCTGGCCCTTTAGAAGTTTTTGTTTTGTGAAGTACAACTGACAAATATAATCGCATGTCTTTATGGTATACAGTGTGATATCTTTTATGTACGCATGTAACTTACATCATAGTTACACCTGCATTAAAAATACAAATCTCACCAGGTACCTTTTCTTTTGTGAGGACTTCTTCTCTGTGCCCACCTGCTCTTGATTCTTCCCCAGGGTTTTCAAGCAGTCATTGTATGTATTTGTGTTTGGGGTGCACCCCAGATAGGCCCCAGGCAGTTATTCCTACATAACCTAGCCCCTTTCATGGAAAGTTGATTCGTTTTTTGATATATTTGCCCAACAAACTCAGTAAGCTGACGGAGTTGAGGTATGGAATGAGAGCTAGACTTATTTTTAAAGTTCGTGCTGTGTAGTCAGCATCTAACAGCTTACTAGAATAATCTTCTTAATTATGTTTCTCGGTGAAAACTTAGTTAATTCAGCAAGTATGTGCACCGACTCCATGTCAGGCATTCTCAGAGTTACAAGCAAAAGAGAAACTGTTTCCTTTTCCCATGGAGTTAATGATCTAATGGAGGAGACAGTAACGGATGGAAAAATGTAAGTAAATCTGACTTGGGGGAGATTTCCTGAAGGAAAAACAAAAGGTGATAGCACTTGGACACGGCTGAGGCTGATGACTTAAGGAACCAAAGACTCCGCTGAGGCAGAGAGGTCTGGGCTGAGATCTGAGACCGAGGCAATAATGACAGGGCTGGATGGGAGGACGGACAGGGTCAAAGGAAGCAGAGCACAGAGCTTCAGAAGACCGGCTCCAGAGTAAGCCAGCACCACTGGAGGGCCGAGCGTGGAAAGAGCCTGGTAAGGGCACGCCCAGAAAGATGGACAGCCTTGCATCTTGGAGACCAGGCTAGAGCTTGGGATGGTCATAGCATTCTTTTTATTTGTGTGCAAAAGGACTAATCTAGTTTCAGTGTGGAAAGGGAGACCAAGATCCACTCAAGGAGGACGGCTGGGAGACAACTGTCGCAGTGCAGGTGACCGGTGATACGGGCTTTGAGCAGAGCCGCGGGAGAAGAGACAGAGGGAGGTGGAAGGTTTGAGCTGTAGTAAAGGCGCAAGGTCAGAAGGTCTTGGTTGCGGGCCAGAGCTGACATGCAGGGAAGGAGAGGTCAGAGGTCTCCTGAGTTAGCCTCTTGCCTCATTACATGCATAGAGGGTTTTGTCTGTTGAAAGGCAGGTCAGTGAAGGAGGCCTGGAGTCAGGAACGAAGAACGTGAGCGCAGGTTTGGACAGGGTGAATGAGACACGCCCGACAGAGCCCAGTGGGTAAGGAGCAGGCAGGGCAGTACGCAGAGCTGAAACTCGAAGGAGCGCAGTGTGCGGTGACCGTTCCTCACAGGATTGCACTGTACGGAATTCTGCACACAGGAGGCCTGCTGGTGTCTGCTGCCGGCATTCTCCGCTGGGAAAACATGTTCTACACGGGCTGCAGGTTGAGTGCAAGGACTGAGACCACCCCCAGCCCTAGCAGATGTCCACACCATCCGGGCAGACACTCCTGCCCTTTCCTCACTCCTTACAGAGGTGCAGGGGGGTGGGGGAACAGCTTTCCAAACTTTAATATTAACCTGTATTCATAAATGTTGTCTTCAGAACTGAAAATCTTATCCAAGGCTTAACTAAAGGAAGACTTCCAAGTCAGCATACATTCCCTTTCATTTTCTGTTCAAGGGAGAGCTTACAAAGCAAACAAACAAGATAGCAAATAAAACATTTTCCTAGCCGAGGAATTGAATCTGCAGAGCACTTTGCAAAGCCCTGTTTGTAGTTTGCTGGTGCTGCAGAGTAAGCGGAGGCCAGGACTCCTGGACCTGGGCTTTGGCTGTGTTAACAAGCCGCTCTGATCTCTCTGCAGACAGCCGTGGTAGCCAGACACACACGTGTTGTGCCTCTGCTGTTCTTGGGAGTTGTTATCCTGAATTCCTTTTATTTCTCTGTGCATCTAGTTTTCAACAGCAATTAATTCTAACAGATGCATCTTACGTGTGTTAGACGACTTTTGAAACTGAATATTTAGCCCATGTCCAGAATAAGGGCAGGGAACATCTACTGAAAACCTAATTTTCTTCCACATGCCCTGCAGTCTTCATAAATAACATTGCTTTAAAAGAACACCCCATAGCCCCCATACTTTTGTTATTACTGTTCCTGCTGTGTGTTTCTCCCATTTGATGTCACAGTCCCACTCAGGGGAGGTGGCTGTGCATGTTTACTGTGTACCGTTTACAGGAGACTTCTTATCTTGGTGGGTGGCCTGATGCCCAGGGTCCCCACTGTGACAAGGTGACCTTTTGATAGGAAACTTGTTTATACTGGCAGTGTCCTTGTGGCGCTGGTCTGAGCTGTGACCAGTTTGTTCCTGACTGGAAAAGAAGTTAGGTTTGCATGTGTTGGCAGGGAGACAGCGGCGTGGACGGACACAGGAAGTGACGGAGTGTCGTGAGAGAGAAGAGGGCTGTGCACCTCGCAGGGACCCAGGGAGAAGGGACATCAGCCGGGGAGGTGGAGCCCTTCCTGGGGTCCTGCGTGTCACCCCGTGAGTTCCAGCCCAGGGTGGTGAGAGGAAGGAGGCTCACATTTCCTGCACAGTGTGGGTCAGTGGGGGCCAGTCAGCGAGCTGCGTCCAGCTGCGCACAGGAGGGGGCACCAGCAGGAAGTGGTGCAGGCAGAGACCCAGATAGACCACTCCAAGGGACGGGGAAGATGGGCACCTGGACGCTGTGTCCTGAGTGACAAAATGATTGTCCAGGCACAGAAAAACAAATTCACGGTCCCCATTCTGCTGAGGGGACACTGGGCCCAAAGCTCTCTTAACATGCACCAGTCATTGGGCTGGTGTATGGTGACACCTGGGATTTCAATCTGCATTTCAGTGAAGAAACCCCTTTGTGTTCCACTAAATCATGCACTTCCTGTTACAGCTTCAGTTTAAGTATTTAATGTTTTATCATTTTTTGGAAATGGAAGTCTAGACACGACTTACCTTTAACCTCTGGCAAGAAGAGTGAGCTTTCCAAGTCCGCCGATCCACCTTGTACCACTAGACAACATTTTATAATTTGACTTATTTTTAAATTATGAAACTGGCTGAGCATGGTGGTACATGTCTGTAATCCCAGCATTTGGGAGGCTGAGGCAGGAGGATCACTGTGAGTTGGAGGCCAGCCTGAAGAACATATCGAGCCTCTGTCTTAATCACTTAGTCAGTTACAGCATGGACTTTTCATTCCTCCTTACAGCCCTTTCTCATACTTACCCTGGGGAAAGAGACAATCTTGCATTATGCACCGTTTTGCATCCTCTGATGAGTGCAGAACTGCAGCTGCCCGCGCCCTAACTCTCACTGTCCACACTGTTGCAGAAGGAGAGCTGGAAGCCGAATGGCTTCAGGACGTGGGGCTGTCAACTCTGATCTCTGGGGAGGAAGAGGAAGACGGCAAAGCCCTGCTCTCCACGTTGACGCGAACCCAGGCGGCCGCAGTGAAGAAGAGGTATAACACCTACACCCAGACTCTTCGGAAAAAGAGCAAGCAGCCCATCAGGGACGTCAGGGACGTCTTTGGGGTTGGAGAGGCTCCGGTAAGTGGTGGCCGCAGCTCACAGGTGTTGGCTTTGATTTCATGGGAGCCCTGGGAGGGAAGAGTGGCGTCAGGAAAGGCTGCTTCTTTGCAGCTTCCAGAGAACACTGGAGCAGACAGCTCGGTGCAGCGTGGCACTAGCTGAACTGAAGTGATCATCCCTGCTCTGCTCACCGCGTCTCCCTCTGTGCCAGATTCCTTCCCTTCTGTGGTGAAGTCGAACAGTCACCTTCTGGATCTTGTGGAAGTGGCACACAGCACAGAGCCTTCCATAAACCTAGACTTAGATTGGTCAGGCCAAAGAATCCCAAGGAAATGGCCCAGGTGTAGTAAGCAAGTCCAAGTATGCTGTGTTGCATGGTGCTGGAGGAGCGGGGAGTGAAGGGACCCATTGTGTTCAGAAAAATCAACATGGTACCAAAACGAGATACCAGAATTGATTCAGTGGGTGAGAGAATGATTCAGAAAGCTCTGACAGAAGCATCCCATGTCCTGTGAGAAATGTGAGTTGAAGTTCCAGCTCACCCTTAGTTCCGTGGCCATGGTCTTCTGAGGCTATTAGTTGTTTCCTCTTACTTCTACCTGAGTTTTACTGCTAGCTCTGCCTTGCAACTATCTGTTCCTTTATTCACCGCAATGCTGCACTATAATAATTGTGTTGTAGATGCAATGAAGACTTATTGAATTTATTCTGGGGCAAGATCCTCTGACATCAAATTCTATGCAGGTAGGATTCTTGGAACTTTGGAGGTCATGAGTATATAGAGAAAAAGGCAGTTTAATGTTCTGTTGCAGTTATGGATAAGTTGCCCGGGTGATTTAATCACTCTGATTTAGGTTTGTCATCTGTGGTTCTAATATCAATAATGACATAAATTCTCACCAAGATATTGGATAGAAATCACGGTGGAAGACAGCCTCCGACTTGAGTCACTGTACCTCGTCGTCTTCTTTCTGGGTTTATCGTAACCGCAAAGGGTAGCTGCCTCATACGCTCGCGTGCTCCTAGGTCGCCTCTGCATTCAGGACAACAGCGTCCCAGGATCACACAGTCCTTCAGAACTTTCCTCAGTAGTGGGAACGATCTATTTGTGCTCTGTCTAACATGCAGCCCCCACCTTTTGTCACATGCAGCAGTTTACAACGGAAATGTGGCTCTTGTGAACTGAATTTAAGTTTTGCTTCATCTTCATTTACTTCAATCTAAGCAGCTGCATGTGGCATGTAGCTTATAAATTGAATAGCACAGGCTCTAGAATCTTTGCCTGACTGATGCATACTTTGAGCTCTGTGCATTTTGAGTTCTATGCTGTTTGAATTTTCAGCATAGCTTAGTTGAACCTTATGTCTTTCTGGAGGGTGGGATTTTCCACAGCTGTGACTGAGTACGAGTGACCCATGACTTGATACCAGGACTTTGGCTGGGCTGCCCTGGAGAAGATGCCTATCAAAAAAACGGTTTAAATTCCCCAGTCGATTTTTCTTGAGGATCACCTCATGAGGCCCTATAAATTCCTCATACATTTTTACTTTCTCATATCTTTTCCCAGCTACTTAAGACTAAAATTGTGGCTCTACTGTAGCAAAGTGCAAAAGGCATCTTCCAGAAACCTTAGATCATTCAGGAAATGCATAACTACCCTTTCCGGGTTCCCTTGGACTTTGCACTTCTAGTAACATAAAATGAGGAAGGTAAGAGAACTTCTGATGCACCTCTTTTCTTCACATTAACTCTTCTTGAAGGAAAGGATAAAGTGAACACTTAGTCTCGGGTCTTCCAGGGTAGATAGAAATAAGGAGTTTTTGCCTTCTCTGGCACACGCATGCGCAATCCAGTGTTCAGGTCGCCAGAACTACTTCCGGTTTCCTGTTTCAAACCGAGGCCATAGACGCCAAGGTCCCTGCCCTCCTCTGGCTCTGTGGCTGCGATCCTGTCTGTCTCTATGTGCGCCTGCCCCTCCTCCTCCTCCTCCTCTGCTTCCCCTTCTCCTTCTTCCTCTCTCTCTTACCCTGTCTCTCTCCTTCCCACTCTTTGTACCCTTCTTCGTTTCCCTACATTAATTGAATAATTACCGAAAGTGTTTCCATTCCCCTCTCTTGGTGAATGATCGTGGTAAGGTTGGTAAGGATTCTTTGTGTTCACCTCAGACACTTGAATTTGAGCCCATATACCAGTGAGGACAGAAATTGGGTAATTTGAAAAATAGGTATGCAGAGGATGAACGTTCTTCATTTTTCTTTAATTTGTTAATCTTTTTAAATTTTTAATTTTTTTAACTTTCAAGCGTTTTTTTTTTGTTTTTTTTTTTAGGTTTTTCTTTTGTCTTTTACATACAGAATTCCATGCTCAAAATCACTTTCCTTCAGAATTTCAAAAAATATTTTCTATTTTCTTCTCTCACATACCACCATCACTGTAACAGCTGCGGAAGTTTTTGTGTTTTATTTTTATTGTTGGTAAACCTATTTTACCTCCCCCACCCCTTGGATTTTTGAGACAAGGTCTCACTATGTTATTCAGGCTGGCCTTGATCTCTCAGCAGTCCTACTGCCTCAGCCTCCCAAATGCTGGGATTATAGGCATGGGCTGCCTGCCACACCTGGCCCACCAGTTTTACATTTAAAAAAAAAAAAATCGTCTTGATTGGTACTAAACAAGTCCTTCAAATATGAGACCAAATTCATTCTTGAGGCTCTGCATTATTTTCCCTTAACATATAAAACTGTTGTTTGTATCTTCCATTTTCTCAGTGGCCTGCTGGAGCCCTTGTTAAATTATCACCTAGCCTCCACATTTCTTAATTGTTCCCTTATATTTTCCAACTTTTTGTGTTCATTTTTCTGCATTCTTGGATATCTCTTCAATTTCATTTATTATATCAGTAACTTTACTATGGTCTAATAATATGACATTTGATCTTTTAAAACATAGCAGTCATAATGCCAGTGCACCCCTTCTTTCAACCCCCTTTATGCTAGCAGTCTGTTCTTGTTTCTTGGGTGCAATAGCCCCCAGCATTCATGGGTACTAACTCAATGTTACACTCCTGAGCCCTCTTCCTGCCCTTAAGTTACCGTTTCCTTCAGGTGACACATTATTTTTATCATCATAATTTTCCTCTTTCTGTTGCCATTGCTGAGTTGATTTTGTTCTTGGGTGTTGGTGTAAGTTTCTCACTGGATGGATGGGCCTTTGCTGGATTAGCCCAGGTAATGACTCTGCTTGCTGTACAGTTGTGTAGACCTATTCTTTGGAGAACCCCCTACAGGTAGGGTTCCGGGCCGTGTGAGTAGTGGGGTCTCAATTGCCACACTTCATTTTAAGGCACATAAAGTAGGTATCAATGCCACACTAACAGGAGTCCTCAGTAAATGGAGTTTAATTCCTTTACAGGCAAACTGAACTTCCCTTGGTAGTCTTCTGTCTTTATCCTTTTAGAAAACCCCAAATCTTCTTCTGTCCACAGCCACCAGACCTTTAACCAAGACAGTCACAAGCCCACAAGGAAGGTGGTTACTCTGTCACCTGCTCTTCTCTCAGGGAAAAATGGCCTCCCTGGTCTCTGTGCTGAGAAAAGCATTTTTTGGTTTCTTGGCCACTGTCTTCTGAGTTGGGGGTGCCCCCTATCTTTTTATTTCCTTCTGGATGTGAGCATTTTCTGGATAAGCATGTACATCCACCATTTTTCTCTTGAGCCTTCTCTCAGGCTAAGGTTTTCTTCTGCGCTTATCAAACTATTCTTGCTGGATTTTTTATCTTCCAGGAACTTCCTCCAATTTCCATTGTCTGATGGAAATGTTGAGTGGTGTCTAGATGTACTCCTTTAAAAAGGTCTCTCTTTTGACAGAGTTATTTTCAGGGAAAGAAGAAAGTAGTGTGTGCGTTTTGTTATCTTAATCCAGTTTCCTGGTGCTGACTTTTCAATAGGATTTTTCTCTTCAAAACTAAATCAGCTTTATTCTCCTTTATTACAAAGGTAATATATACTCATTACTAGAAACAGAAGACATCCAGGCAAGGTGAAGAATGACAATTTCTGTAGGCCCCAATAAATTTTATGTTCTCATTAAATAGCCAATAAATTTAAAATATCCATGTATTCCTTATAGTAAAGAAATAGAATATTTAGCCCTTATTTTAGCAGAGCCATTGTTCACTAAATTGAAAATGCTATATCAATTTTAGGGTACATAATACATAGTATGCATAACCATCAGGAGCAGAATTCTAGTACCCAGATACGTTTTTCTAATGTTCAGAAGCTGTGAATTCAATTTTCTTTTCAGTAACTCATTTAATTGGGAAAAATAGTAAGTCTCATTTATCTCCAGTTTTATAATTTATAAGCAGGTAGCTAAAGGGGAAACTGATTTACAACTGATCATATAAACCTATCACAGTATGCATCTAAAAGCATGATTGTATCACTTACTTACACATTTGACTCCAGGTAACAGCAAACCCAAAAAATCACGAGTCACACAATTATGAGTTTGAGAAGTGGAAAGGAGATGATCCCTTTTCTTGACTCAAATCTAGCTTCCTTCTGTCTGTCTTTCCAAGCGCACCCTTTCTCATTGTCCATCCAGGCCAGATGGCCCACAGTGGGCCCCATCTCCACCTTCTTGGTAGCTCCTGGGACCTGTGTCACAGCCTCTGGCCTCACTTTCCTAGAAGTCTCACTCAGTAGAATTCCCATTGCCCCTCACTGCTCAGAGCTATATTCTTCAGCTACGAGGGAGGGTGAGATATTGGTTCTTCTATTTAGTTGGACATGAAGCCTCCTGAAAAAAATCAGGATACCGTTAAGGAAATAGAAAACTGATTTGGGATACACGGCCGACAGAACTTGCACAAAGGACGTATTTGTTAGGTCCCCGGCATCTAATGGTCTTCCAGTATTGCTTGACAGTGACTGGATACGATGGTCAGTGAATACACAGCCAATCGTGGCGAGGGCTGTCTCCACAAATCAGCATGAATGGATGCATTATGCATAA